ATATATATATATATATATATATATGGCGATTTCTGTGTTCTAATGGATGTTTTTTAAACTTTTATGTCTCCTTTTGTAAGAAACAACAACAGCAACAACTGCATCTTCGCTAAAAGTAGCGATGAAAGTGGCTAAATCATGTTAACTGCTAAAAACTCAAACAATACGCGGATGTTCTATGCTTGTTGGTACTCAAATTGTGTATATTAGTATTTGATTATTAGAAAAAAAACAAAAGCTGTATTCTACTCGCAGGAGAGAAGTAGAAATAAAAGCAACAACATCAAAATGTCTTGATGTATTCATTTACAGTTCATATTAGTGTAACATTTCTAATGTTATATAGTATTTATCATATTTCGCTATGCGATAAAATAATTTGTATTATTTTGCCCTCCGAAGTAGTCTTATCAATGAACGAGAGCAGAATAGGGAAGAAATCGGCACCCCTCCACCAAAAAAGAACCTTTTCCCATACATTGTCTATTTACCACTTTCTCGTTATCTATCGCCTTTTTAAAATAATTTGGTTTGATATTTCATTGCTCGCATTATTAGTGTGCTCCTGGAAGAACATAATACACAAAAATTGAAGTTCTTATTATTTCCATTGCTACTCGAAACACACAAAAGCTCTTAATAAACTGCTATAACTGATTTAGAAAGTAATATATTCTTCCGTTTTAATCTGAAAGATTAAAAGCCCAGGAAAGGGAAGTAGATTAAATAGTTAAATCCCGTAAACTTTTGTGGTTGGGCGTGCTGGCGATAAATAAAGGATAATATTCTAAAGAGTCTATGTCGGAAAGGCACATCACACAGAACAGCACTGGTGGGTTACAGACCGATGCGGTGTTTATACCAAACGACAGCAAGGTTAGCTTCGCCGGTAGGCTCGGAATCACGGCGAACCAGGTCAGTGTCTACAAATCATCCGCGCAGAGTGGGCGAGACTTGATGTTCATTGGATCGTGCACGGTCCGCCACCTGCAGTTTTACCGTCATCAGGATCTCATCATACTGGTAGGTGACTCCCGACGTCTCTTCGACATCGTCGCGTCGTCGGATGAGCTCGCCGCGCACCTTTCCCTCTCCATTTATGACAACATCATCGCGAACTGTGCGAAGTGGTCGACGTTGACGGTGCAGTTGAACTTGCCGGAGGTGTGCGATGTTGTGGTGTCGGCATTGGAGTCCCGCCGCGCGACGCAGCTCCCCGCGCCGCCCTTTCCCCTCCACCACCTCGCCGTCCTGCCAGACACCCCCGTCAACCGCGAGCTCCCCGACCGCGACCACCGCCAGCGGCCCCTGGAGCTACCCCAGTCCAAGTCCAAGTCCCGCCCTGGTTACCTCGAGTCCAAGTCCCAGTCCCGGCGTGGTTACACCGAGTCCAAGTCCCAGTCCCGCCCTGGTTACGTTCAGTCCAAGTCCGAGACTAATTCCTGTTTCTCCCACTCGCGGAGTAGGGACAGAGGGCGGAAGGCGGACTCTGCACCCCGGCAGCTGCGCGGGGTGAGGGGGTCAGAGGGCTACCGCGAGGCCGCGGCGGCGGTTGAGGAGCCTGACGTTTATGTGGAGGAGGCCGGGATGGCGGCCGAGAGGGAGGGGGAGAGGGGGGGCTGGAATAGACCGGCGGCCCCCCGCGCGGGGCCCGGCGAGGTGGAGGGCCTCCTGCGACGCGTCCAGCGCTACCAGCACCACCGTTTGCATGTCATGCAGTATCTCCATCGCGCGATGGTCCAGCAGGCTTTCATCGCCGAGGAGGCGAAGCTGCGGGCAGGGCGGCCACGACGAGTGAGCCCCCCCCACTGCTCGTCCTCGCCCGCGACCGGGGAAGGGGAGGGGCGACTGCGGGAGATTGAGGCCCGTCTTGCGGCGGTTGAAGAACTCCACCGGGCCGCGGAGCGCGAGCATGCAGAGGCCGCGGAGCTCCGCATGGAGTACGAGGCCCGGCTTGCGGCGCTCGCCCCCAACGGGCGTCCCGATGGGGCATCGCGAGAGGTCTCTCTGGGCGACGTTCTGGACGGCCCCAATGAGGCTACGACGGTTCTCGACCGGCACGTCGTTGGCGAGGAGTGGTGGCTTCTCTATCCCCAGTACCAGCATGAGCTCCAGTTCAACGCGCAGATTGACCTTTGCCTCGCCCTTAAGCTCCCGCGGACTGCGGTCTGCGTAGTGGAGCTCAGCCTCGATGAGGGGGGGCTGCGGCTGCAGCTGAGGATTCACCACGACCGCGCGGGGCTCCCCCGGTCCGAGATCGAATGGCGCGTCCGCAGCTGTCCTTTTCGCATGCTGCGGCGGATGTACGAGATGCGGCGGCTCTACGAAGGCCGGAGGCGCAAGGTGGAGCCCGTCGTTGGCACCCGCCCGCGGATGATCGCTGATGTCGGCGTCGTTCCAGCCCTCGCCCCGAATGCGGTGGGGACTTGGCGGTCCTCTAGTCAGGGCGACTCCCACTGCGTATCGGGCAGCACCTTGTTTCCACCCTCCGGATCCCTCGCCCTCCCCCAGCCGCGCTCGCGGACGACCTACCGCGGCGACGACGACTGCTGCGAGGACTTCAGCAGCTTTGTCGAGAGGGATGTCGTCTCCCTCGAGGGCTCCCTCCTCCCGCGGAGGTTTACGATCCCGCAGGAGGAGACCTCGCAGGGCCCTCTCGAGAAGACGAGGCAGCAGATCAACGCGGAGCTGTGGCTTCACGTTTGCGAGCAAGCCGAACACCTCGTCGAGGATGAAGCCTACTCGCGCGCCGACCTCCTCTTACAGGAGGCCAAGCAGAGGCGGACGATCAGCCAATTCCACCAACGCGAGGCCGCAACGACTAGTTTTGCCTTCCTACAGTCGGAGAGGATCGAGCGCGCTTCCCTTGAGGTCAGCGCTGCGCGGCAGGTGCAGGTGCTAATGGTGGCCCACCGCCGCCAGCTCGCTCTCTTCCGTGTGGTTGACGCCGAGCGCAAGCGCCGCGGCGAGATCGCGGAGAGGGAGAAGGACGAGTGGTGCGCGCTCAACATGACGATGAAGCCCTCATCCACACACATCCACGCGGCTGCCCTGCTCGACGCCGAGCGAAATGCCCAGACCTCTTCGATAGCAAGCACCTCCGCGAAGGCTTTAAATGATGTTATCGCTGTCGAGAAGGTGGCTCGCGCGGTGATCATGTCAGACGCTATGAGCGAGTTCCTCGAGCTGTTTTGCGAGTCCTTCTCTCCCTCTGAGGGCGGGAGGGGAGGGGTGCTGTCGTCCTCCTTAACGGAGGCTGGGTATTACCCGGCGCGTATTCCCACGATGCTGAGTGAGCTTGTGCAAGATGAGCGCACGCTGCGGGACATCAACGCGGTGGAGGAGCGACGGCGGCGGGTGCTTTACGCCCACGGTGAGATCGAACAGCGAGAGTCGGTTTGCCGAGACCTCGTCGAGCAGCGGGAGCTTGAAAAGCGCGGTGAGGTCCTCGACGCCGCCGTCCGCGAGCGCCGCCAGCTCCACGAGCGCCGTTTGAAAGACCGTGAGCACCTCAGCCATCTTCTCACCGAAGAACATTTCTACCGCAAGGCCTTATTGTCCGATGCGCGAGATGAACTGGAGGCGATAAGCGAGCGCTTTGCGGCAGCCTGGCGGTATTTGTTAGCACCTGCTGCCGCTGAGGAGGGGATCGAGGGGGAGGATCTCACACCTCGCCGCCATTTCGCCGGCGCCGCTCGTACGGCAAAGCCTTTTCATTACATGACCTTCTCCCCAGAGGATATGGACTACGCCCCTAGCGCACAGCTCGCTGTTGAGGGCATCCTGGGCTGTGCGGTTAACAAGAACCTCGAAGTAACTCGTGTCCAACGCCCACTCAGCCAACAATGCAATGCTGAGGAAGAGCAATTTCAAGCCGGGGACATGATCCTCGATGTCTCCGGGCAATCCCTGCACTCCCTCTCACATTTACGCGAGGTCCTCTCCAACCGCTGCGTGCAAATTCAGATGGAGACCCGTTTGAAGTTCCCCGAGGTACCAGACGATCACCTCACTATCAACCCTGCCCTGCAGAAGTACCTCAAGCTGCTCTGCGAGCACCACAACTTCCTTGTTCTCGTGCTGCGAGGCTGCGATATCTTTCAGGTTATTGTGGGAACGTGAGGATAAGGCTATCGTGATCGAAAACTGCATATATATATATATATATTTAGATTACGCATATGGCGAGTATTCTAAATCTAAATAAATCTATGATTCTGCAGCCTTGACAGTCGCAGGGTATATAGAATCTCCTTGAAAGACAGTTGATGTGAGGCTTTTGTAGATGATTTATTGCTCTTTTTACCTTTTTTTTATTATTCTATTACTGTATTTTACTTTGTTCTTATAATAACTACTCACTAGAAGTGCTTGTGAATGTGCGTACATTCCCCTCCTCCTCCTCCTTCTTTCTCTTCAGGCGTAGGAAATCGACGGAACAAAGGGCGGAAAAATGAAGCAAAACTTAAACTCCTGATATTTTGGTGAGGTAATTTGATTTGTTGTGTATTATTCTGCTTGCTATTATTGTTATTGATACGGATATTGTAGACGAATTTAAATCAATCTACTGACATCTGTGTTTAATTTTTGATTCGTATTCTAGTACATCTACTTATTTTCCTAGGGTTACGACCCTCCTCGCTGGTGGTGAGAGATGATAAGGTGAAAATATGTTTAAATAGAATGGATTTTCTTATTAAAGAGTTTCTATTCTCTCTTCCCATGTGATAAATACTCTATTGGGTGGCAGACTCTTCAATTAAACGTATGCTTTTTTGCCTTTTATACATTTTTTTGATCTTTTGAGCCATGGCGTCTGCTTAATATTGTGCTCCTTTTTATTCCTTTTAGGATTAAATAGCAATTGGATCTCATCACAGGAGGAGGAAAAATAATAGCGGCTTAGATAGTGCCTGCCGATGTGATGAAGTGAAAATGAAGACTGTGTCTTTCATATTGTCTGTCTTCGGGTTTATGACGGGGTGAAATTTAATTAGGGGGTACAGCAAACCTATTTTTATCCTTTTCTTAGATGCAATGAATCCTCTTCCTCGTCATTTTTTTTTCTCCGAATAGGTGAGTATTCCCTATTTTTTATAACTATTCCTTTTGTAGCACATTAAGCATCTGAAGTAGAATGATACGAATATATATTATGTCGATATCTCAAATGGATATTATAGGATCAGTGTTAAACATAATTCAACTCACTGATAAAAAATTGTCGGTGTTACAAAGGGGATGATTTTTATATGAATTCTTAAGATTGACACTATTTATTTCTGTTATCTATGGCTTTTCTTTTTGTTTGTTTATTTGTAGTGTGGAGAGCTATATTTAGAGCACTATACAACTGCACAAACGTTTTTTTTGTGATAATACTCATTTTCGCGTGCGCGTACGCGTGCGCCAATTTGATAAAAAGGGGGGAGGTGTGTGTGTGGCAGATCGTGAGGTTCACCAGGCAAGACTGTACCTAGGCGATGCTGCAGTTTCTAGCGATTTTGGTCCACGGCTGGCTAACCGGGATTGTCTTCTCGGTGCTGGGCTACCTGTACGGCTTCGACGTCTTTGTCGCGCTGATGAGCCTCACCGAGCCCGTTTTCGCCATCCTCCCGTTCTACCACCTTATCGCGATAGGCCAGTTCAACGCGGGGGAGGGGAGCCGTGGGCCGGACGACAGCCCCTGCAGCCATGAGGCCAAGACCCAGACCTCAGTCACCACCTCAAGTTTGACCCTAACCTCGACTTTGGCCTCTGCTGCGGATGACACGGCGGTCTTCGAGCGCGGGGCCTTTTGCGTGGTCCGTGAGAAGGTAGGGGGGGGGCCGGGCGCGGGCTGTTACATCGCCCTCCGCGGCGGGGCCATCCACGTGTACGAGCAGTCTGCGGCAGACCCCAAGCAACGCGCGGGAGGGGAGCCCGCGGAGGAGGCGGCCGTGATAGGGCCTCCCCCAGGGCTTTACCGCGGTAGCATCGCTATCCACCGCCTTAAGGCGAGGCTGCAGCGCGGGGACGCGAAGACGCGCCGGGCGTCAAGCACCTTCGGCGCGCGCTGGATGGTCCTCCTGCGGACAACAGATGGCAGACCGCTCCTTGAAGAGGGGGGAGGGGAAGCAGGTGAGGGCAACTTTTTCACGCAGACCCCCAGCGACGCAGGATGGGAGAGCAGCAGCCTTGACAACGCCCCTTTGCGCTATGGCAGCGAACAGCTCTATCACGACGCTTCGCACGGAAGCGTCCGATCGAACCGCCACCCGCGGTCAGAAGACACAACCTCGTGTGGGATCAGCTCCTTAGCGAACGTATCGCGAAGTGAGGGGGTGTTATATGCGGACTCTCCGTTGGACGGGTGCTTCAGCTGCGCTGATATGCTCCGCTGGAAAATCATGACGATTTGCTTTAAAGATGCAAAAGAGGCAGACTGCTGGTGTAGTCTTTTGCAAGGCATCCACGAGGGGAAGGCGTGGTGGACGCTCGCGAGGTCGCTGAACACGGCAAACACTGCGAACATGCTACTCTCACGTTTTTTTTTTCAAAGCATGCGCCGTGAGGGCATGACGACGTTGATTAAAAAGCAGATTCAGGAGAAGCTCAACAAGCTAGCGCAGTCTAAGTTTCCGCGCGATCTGCAAGGACATATCTACCTCGACGACTTTATCATCGGCAAGCACATCCCCTCCATAGGGAACGTCTCGGATGCGAGGTTCGGCGCGAACGGCGAGGTCGGCTTTGACATGAATTTCTGCTATAAGGGCGGTGACGAGGGCTTTTCGCTGTACTTCCGTCTGGCGCTCACCTACCGCGGTATCCGCATTCCGCACATTGTCTTTTCGGTCAAATTCCACCACTTGGAAGCATCCCTCTACGTCAGCGTAAGCCCACCGCCGTCGGAGCGGTTTTGGATCGGCTGCCATGTGCCGCCGGAGCTTCAGGTAGAGGTCCACCAAGGCTGCGCCTCGGGCCGGGGCCTCCTCCATCGCATCCTTATCTCCTTCCCCAATCTGAGCACGTTCTTCACGAATTTAATTAAGAACTATTTCTTCAAGGAGATGGTGTTGCCGTTTTTAGACGACTTCCCGCTGCCGAGCCTGGAGAAGACGCCGCCGATCAGCTTGAAGGGGATGACCAAGAAAGGGAGGGACTTTGACCGCATGCGAGCGGCGGCGCTTAGCGGTAACACGGTAAGTACGGCCGAGGGAGGTGCGCGGAAACCCAGCATGTCCTTCTATTAAAGCATTTTACCAGAGGGGAGGGAAAAGAGTGGCAACGGCCGGGTAACCCCCTCCACGCAGTATACCATGCAAGGCAGAAAACCATATTTGGCCACAAAAAAAGAATCAGAAGGTTATGGCTGATTCAATACTTAACGAACGCATGAGTGAGCTTCCGCGTTGATGAGTACATGATCAACTTCCTGCGAATTTGTACTCTATTACATTTTGAATTTTTGATTTTTTTTTGTAAATTCGCGTTTTAGTGATTCTTATGTTACAGTATGCATGCATATGTGTGCAAATTGAAATACATATGTGTATGTATATTTACCTTCAGGGTAAGTTTTTTGTTAAAGTTAGTACACTTGCTTAAATGATTTTTTTTTCACTATCAAATTTTTGCAGAAAAAAGATGTTTTGACGAATCTGAAAGAGTCCAATGCTTCATGTCGTTTTTTCGGACGATTTTATACGAGCAGCCGATGCGCTGATCGATTTCTTTTAGTTATTACGGTTATTTTTACGAGCACCACAACTATACCGTGGTATTGAACACACACATACACATACACAAACTAGCGATCCTTCAGAGAAAGTTGCAGCACATTGTTTGTGCTACTATCAGGTAGTATATACGTGTATTTACTACGCACACGCAACAGATTACTCTTCAACGCTGTACATCATATCTATAGGACTTGCTGCATAGGAACGGAACGGTGTATCGAAAGTTAGCAGATTCATGGTTCGATTTATAGAATTAACGTGGTTTTTGTTTGGTGTCTTTACAGGCGTCACTTTCTTCTTTCGTGTATTCATTTATGTATTCTCTACACTAAATACATGGATCAACCGCACAGTGGAGACGAAAACTCTCCAACATAAGAAGTTTAACACCCTGTCTAAGGCCGCCGCACAGATACCTCCTTCCATGATTGAGTCGCTTTGCCAGGTTTCAAGATTCGACGATAATGTTGTTGGGGATCCGATCCACTGTCGTGCTGTGTTTTGCGGTCTCTCCATGATTCTCTATCAGACAGATTCGATAAAAATATTACCAGACCACAGACATCGTGTCGTTCACGAGCACTTTTTATACCGTATCAACAGCTCCTGCGTCAATGCTTTTTTTCAGCGGATTTCCCAATATCATCGGCACGCCAACAAAGCCTCGCGCTTTTCTTCTATTAAGGGCAAGTGCGTTATTCTGCGTGCAAAGGAGGGGTTACCGCTCTTTTTAGAGGATCCGGCAACGGTGATGTCGAGGAAGATCGAAGCCGCGAAACTCGAGCGTAATAAGCGCCTCCAAGCTCATACGCAGTTAAATTCCGAGATGGGCGCATGCCCAGCGGAGGACTTCATTCCTTTGCAACTCCCTAAGCTCTCGAACGATGTCGAAAGTTCTATTTTTAATAAACCAAACAGCTTACCACCTTATGGGAGCTCTACTACAGGAGCGGAATCCGATCTGAAGGCCCACGATGTTGATATGTGCCTAGGAGCTTCCCATTCCATCGGGAAGGAAGATTCGAGTTGTGATAGCAAACAGAGGACCCCCAATTTGACTGACACTAAGGACAGCGTTCCCATGTGGGAATGGCGCTGCATCGCCATCAAATTCCCCTCGCGAAGAGAAGCCGAGCGCTGGCTTAACCTCTTGCAAGGCTCGCCGCAGACGCATGAGTGGGTGAACTACCTCATGCATCTCCCGAAGATTGATGTCTTGAACTCCCTGCTAGCGCGTCTCTTTTTCGAGAACACACGTACTTTAGGATTGCACAACATGCTTGCGGAAAAAATATCCAAGAAGCTCGAAAGCGTATCCAAAAAGCTACCCGAGCACGTCAAGGGATGTGTTACCCTCGACAACCTCGTTATTGGGGGAGAGGTCCCACTATTTAACAATGTGAGTGTCGCGTCGTTATCGTCGTGTGGCGATCTGAGTATTGACTTTGACGTTCTCTACCGCGGTGGGTTGATTCTGAGCTTTCGCTTTTCCATTACTTATCGGGGTATTCGGGTGCCAGACTTCATTTTTCATATTAAGGTTTTGGAGTTGGCGGGGCGGGCGCGGTTATGCGTGGGCCCGCCACCAACGCAGCTGTGTTGGATCGGAACGTCGATGCTGCCTCAACTGCGACTGCAGTTCACGCAGGAGGTCCCTTCCCACGATGGCATTTTGCACATCCTCACGAAAATCATGCCCAATATGAATCAGCTTGTATCAGATCTTGTGAAGGTGAAGCTTTTTGAGGATATGGTATTACCCAATATGGAGGAATACCCATGGCCTACCTTGCATGATAGCTCGTCATTGAAGCAAACTAGTAGTCATGATGACGTTAGCAATATCATCATGTGAGGTGATGAAGCTATGCGAGGAAAAGGCAAAAAAAATGGTTGGTGAGATGAGAATACCATGGATACCTTTGAGTGGAAAGACATCTATGTTTTCGTTTTAGGGCTATGTAAAAAGGGAGAGGAGAGGGCGGAACTTTAAAATTGGGTTCACGCAGTTAGAAGGCCTACCTTTCTGCAGCTCCAAAGTGCTTTGGGGATCTGGAAAAGCGAAAAGGGTATGATCCCCATAAAAGCACTTCTTTCCTAACCCTAACATACTGAATTATATATCCGATTTGTATTTTTATATCTGCTCTTTATTGTGTTTATACATTTAGCACTATTTGTGGTGACAGTCAGCGCCATGCAAGTTATTTTTGATGGTTTAGATGGCTCTTTCAGCGAAAGAAGAAGTGACTGCGTGAGTTCTTCATAAGAACCCTCTTCGATTCTTTAATCGGGGCGGAGGGTTCGGGAACAGAGCTTCATATGAGCAACATTTTCAATGCATAAAATACTGTTTAATCAACGAGATTGCTGCTCGAAATAAACACAAATCGTACTGACGATGCTGATGGCTCTAAATTTATTAAGCAAAGATATCTGTAAAATGCAGGTTACATGACAAGCGATGGGTAATAAGTGTATGTTTCTTTTCCCTATGTGTGCATACGAACAAACATCTAAATGAATTCATTGGTATTCTTTGTCTACTTTCCAAGTTCACTCAAACGTGAGGGGGAATTTCATTTGACATAATTCAGGAGTCCCCAAAGGGGTTAGCGAACATGTCCTTATCTTCGATGGAGAGAGGCCACAAGGCGGTGAAATTGACTTCAAAGAACCTCTTTGACAGCGTCTTCTCTGCCATCCCGGCGGATGTTTCGATTAATTACAACTCCAACTCCTTATTGGAGGCACTACCTATCATGAAGGAGTCCGACATCGACGTGTCTAGCAGTGCCGCGGGGATTGACAGAGCCGCTCCCGGGGAAGGCGAGAACGGCGAGGATATTCTACTCCGGGACGAGGGGGATGTGACCACGTTGGTAATTGGTCCTGATAGGCTAAGGCAGGGCATGGGGGTGAGAATGACGGCTCTACAGACGACCTCCATTGCAGGGCTTCGTGTGGGAAGCTTGGATGGCCACGCACCGGGTGCTCAAGTCTCGCATTCGAATCAAGACCCGGGGGTGGTGAAGTTCGAGTTGGATCTGGAAGATGAGGCTATTAAGGTGGCGACACGGCATGCAGAGGACCTATCTGAGTACCAGCGTCTACAGCGGGAGGTCGAGGAGGAGGAGATGGCCGTGTACCACGCGCGCGATCGACAGGGGCAAGTAGGTCATTCCCTTACCGGGAAGGATAGAGAGGAGGGCAGTGGTGGCGTGCGGCGCCACCATGGACAGTTCGCGCGGGGTAATCGACTGAGGGAGGACGAGTCTACAAAGGGCTCGAAGCAGAACCCCAACGCGGGTCTTGGAATAGGAACAGGTGGTGAGGAAGGTGAGGGGTCAACTGGACCAGTCGCGTCATCTGAAAATCCGTCTATGCATGGTAACGGCGAGGCCTGTGGGGGGAAGGTCCGGCCGTACCTCACGCCGGAGGAGCAGCTGCGGAATATGCCGCCGGGGCTCAACCGGCTGTACCGCGGGCACTGCGTGATGCTCCGGCAGAGCCGCGGCTTTGGTTTCCTCGCGCCCGAGCTCGGCGGCCCCGACGTCTACTTCACGCTGGACGGCGTCCGCCCCACTTTCAGCGCGCTTGCCCTCGCGGCTTTCCACATGCGGCGGGGGGGGGCCGTCCCACCCTCCGTCGCCGCGGTCCTCCAGGCCGCGCCACTGATCGAGGAGGGAAGGAGGGAGGGGGAGGGTCTAGACCTCACCGCGGAGGAGCGGGAGAAGGCCTCGGAAGCCGCCGCGCTACTCAGCCCGGACACGGCGCGCCTTCTCCAGTACCACTTCGACTGCGTTAAGGGGGGAACGGTCATGGTGAAGGAGGCCCTGACCTTCACGGTCCAGCGTAATCGGACCGTGGGTGGCGGTAGCCGACTGCTCCGTGCGGACTTCATCCGGGGTCTGCCGGAGAACGCCTACGCGACTCAAACCGAGCAGGCGTGGTTTTGGCCATTGTTCCCCAAAGCTGTGGGTCGAAAGATAACAGAAGAGGGCCCGGACAACGCGCACGACACTTTTTCGAACGCTGGAAAGGCCGCTGATGGTGTGGTGCCTACGGACAGCCTGAAGGAAGGCGGCGCTGATTTGAAGGCACCGTCTCCTAAGGACAGGGACATGGTTTCTATTGATGGCGAAGCGACTGTCAAGAAGGATGAGACAAAAGAGAAACCACACACATTAGCACAAACGCAAGTGTTGGTGCGTTATTTGGGCACGGTGCGTACTTACGACACTGATGAGCGTCGCGGCTACATCCGATGTGACGAGCTGGGCGACTTGGGTGTCTTCTTCTACGCGGAGGCGGTCTTGTGGGGGGTCGGCCTAGCCCCTCCCCAGCGCCGCATAATGGAAGGGATGCGTGTGCAGTACAGCGTGGCTAATCGAGATCGCAATCGCAAGTACCTCGCTACCCTCATCACAAGTATCGATGGTAGACCTTTTTCCTTGGAGAATATCCATTTCACTGAAAACCTGAGGGGATCTTCGCTGAGCGGTAGTGGCGGTCCGACAAACGACAGTGACGTAACCGGTGTTGGAGCCCAGAGCCACTTTAAGGAGCGAGAGATCGAGGATTTGGAGTCTCGCCAAAAACGACAGCGCGAAGAGGACAACACACAACTGCTCCTGTTCGAGGAGGACGATTATGCCGTGATTTAATCATCTTTGGATACCAAAAACTCCTGGGGAGGGATAGGCTGGGAAGGGTGTGTCAATCCCTGATTTCCCCTTTGTATGCTTGTATCATCAAGGAAGGAAAAACGATAGGTGCAGGTGCGTTGTCTACACTTCCGATTTGACGCATTGCGGGCAGAAGTTATTTCATTAGATTTGTACTATCCGAGCTCCGCTGCTTTCATTCAGAGGCCAATAATAGGAATTTTTAAGGCGCCTATTATTCCCTAGTGCTGTTGGAGACGTTAAACCTAGCATAAGGTTCATCTTGTCACCAGGGTGGAAGATGCAGCTGAATGAGGGAACTCATAAACTATAAAATGCAAAGAAGATTGAACGCAACTGCGCCTTCAAATATCCACTCACACTAAGTGCATCTTTCCAAATACAAAGTTAAGCGCTCTAAGCGGAACTTTTTTTTTTTGCTATTATAGAATGACAGTAGTTTATTACCATTGATTTGGAAGACTTGTTCTTTTATTGCTATTATTATTATTTGGAAAATTTAAATGAGAGTGACCTACTTTTTTATGTATGGGAGACAGGATGTCAAGGTTGTTGAGTTAGTGAAAGAAGGTGTGTATGGATGTATATTCCTTTTAGGCTTTTTTTATCATCCTTTCCTTATTCATCAGATTTTTTAAAGCTCAAAAAAAAAGTTTACAAAGTGAAGTTGTAAATTTAGGAATTATTTATTATCTGCTTTTAAATTTCTTTTTTTTACACCCTTTTACACATCTTCATACTTTTGAGAGCATTTTAATTGCGAACTTCCAAGCAACGTACCGAATACTTACAATAGGTAAGAAAAAGAATCTTGACCCACGTGCACAACGTGAATGATCTCTGGCTACAAGGGCTCAACCCTTCCACAAAGTCCACATCTGTATGAGCAAATATCCCCGATGAATGATGCCGATGTGGAAGATTCTGGCGAGCTCGAGACCTTAATCTCCTCAGAGGAGAGCTTGATTAGTACTGAAATCCGCAACCTCGAAGCCCCACCTGTGTATTGCTGTAATAGATTTAATGAGTGCCATTCAAAAGAATGCGCACATAATATCAAAAATGAAGCTCCCCTGACTTCTAGTGAAGCAACGAATGACCAGATAGAGAATACTTTTAACAACACAATAGCAGTTGGGATTGAACGAACGAAGACAAACCCTGACATTCGAACCATATTATCTAACGGTACAAAAATAACATCACCGTCTCTGTGTGCTGATATTTTAGGTGTGTCTATGTCTTCGAACACTTCGAATCATATGTACTCGACGCAGACTATCGGCCTCACAGCGGATACATCGACCTGTGGTTCCTATTTTACACCGAAAAATAACAAACGAGAAAAACAGCTACTGAATAATTTGCCACCACCATCACCGACCCCGTGGTGGTCGAACTCCTCACGTTTAAAAAACGCTGGCGAGCCCAACTCTGAGACGTGTCCACGCCCATCTACAGGTTCGTCGGGGCATCCGCTCCTGATCCAAGGGGGTTCCACCCTATCGACGACTAGCAGCGCCCGTGAGTTTGCGGCGATTGCGATGGACGATGATGATATGCAGATTTCCGTTTCCCTTGCTGAGAGCGGGCACCCCTACGACCGCCCTTCGAGTGAGCTCTTCTCATGTCGACCCCCCGTGGACTCATCCGGGGGTACAGGTGGGGCCGCCGCGAGCACGACGCCGCCTCTGCCGATCGTCCTTCCAGCCGAGGTGTTGGGCCTTCGCTCGCCGCGGCCGCGGGCCCCGTCGCGGGTGTCCTCCACCCATTCCCAGCGCTCCGCCTCGCTGCCGCCGCGGGTGCCCTCGGACGAACAGCGGAACTACATGGCGCTGTGGGTCGAGCTGCCGGCGACGCCGTCCACGCCGCACGTGGCGAGCCAGCTCGAGACGCACCGGCGGTGT